AGGTTCTTGTCCGACTTGAGAAGAATCTTCGACAAGTTGGCCGCTTTTCCCGTACCTACGATCGCTGCCATCGATGGACCTGCTCTCGGAGGAGGTTTGGAGCTCAGCTTGGCTTGCGATTTCAGAATCGCTAGTCCTAGCGTCGACAAGCTTGGGTTTCCAGAGGTGAGCAAAAGCGCGTACACCGCGTGATTCGTGCTAGCCGTGTACGCTTTCTGACGTGCGACGCCTCTCCTGCGCATGTTGACGTGACAGGTCCAGCTAGGCATCATTCCGGGCGCTGGAGGTACGCAACGAGCACCTCGTCTGATCGGTCTTGCACGCGCAAAAGAGCTCATCTACACCGGAAGGCTGATCGATGCCGAGACGGCCAAATCATGGGGTTTGATTGACTACCTAGCAGACGAGGGTCAAACCGCAGCACAGCGAGCACTCGCACTAGCCCAGCGTATGGCCAAGAGTGGTGAGTGCTTTCGCTCGCCTGCACCCAGGCACTCTGCCTTCTATGCGTATGCGACATGGGGCTCACACCAGGACCCGTTCAACCTAAAACGGCACGCATCCCGACAGCTCCTTTGGCCCTCGCTTCTGCAAAAATGGCAATCTCGCACGGACTCGACTTCGAGTTGGAAGATGCGCTCCAGTGGGAACGCATGTGCTACGAGAAACTCTTGCCCACTCAGGATCGCCGAGAAGCTCTGCTCGCTTTTGCCGCAAAACGCAAGCCGAACTTTGTGGGCAAGTAAAGAGTGGTGCGATCGTAGTCGTGTGCCTGCTTTGTGTAAATTAGACTGTGGCTCTCGTAATCTCACGAAAGAACAATTTCATGCTCATAAGTACGAGCTGGCCAGACGCTTTTCGTCACGCTTGAACCCTCTTGTCTGCCAAGCAGCTCGCCTGGTGCGGCCTCGGACAGGGTGCAGGCAATGTATGCCTCATGACATTTCGCAATATTTTCGAGCATTAGGAGCTCGCTCAGTAGAAGATGCCACCAGAAGGTCCGGCATCAAAGAAGCGGTCTCGGTGTAGCAGGAACAATACAGCCCTTTTATGCGGCAACTCCACCTCTCTGCGCCACGATTGGGGCAAATGCTGAGCCAGCAAAGGAATGATCGGCAAATCGAATCGCGGTTCTCCAATCACGATGTGCGTCCTGGACTCTCGCAGGAAACAAAAATGCTTCATGCTGACCATGGAAGAGGCGAATCGATGACGTCCGCGGAATTTGGGCTCGCCGATCAGTAGGTGGGTACCTTGATCGTAGTCGCCCATGCCGCCTACAAATGCTGCCATGCCCTGCGTGAAGCACATTGCAGACAAGACAACGTCAGCAAGCCTGCTTCCTTGGGAGATTTGGACACTACGGATCGTCACTCACATCTTCCTTGTTGAATGAAGCTTCGCCATATCCGGCAGGCTCGCCGTCCCAAGACAGAATGTAGCCCATAATATGAGGATCAGCAAGACGCCCTTTATGATACTGTCTATGATAATCCTCCGAACCTCTTTCCCTCCAGCCCTTGTTGACATGATCCGAATTCTGCCACCTGCAATAAGCTTCGAAGTGCTTGGGATCGTCAGGGTTGATGTGGGTCAAGGTGAGGTGCTGTTTGACGCTGTGAATGTAGCGAGAGTAGACGATGCTTCCCGGTGCTGGTTTGGGTGGACGCAGAGGATGGGCAGTCAGAACTGGCGGATTGTCCGACTTTGTAAAAGAGAGTGTGTGCGGGAATGAAGTGCTGGTGAGTGGTCCAAATGCATCTGCTGCTGGAAGGGGCGCTTGAAGCCACGATCGCCCGAGAGGTGCACCGGCACCTGCAGCATCAAAGATCTTGGTCGTCAGTGGCGAACAACGCTTGGCCATCTGGTACAGGCTCAAGCCTCACCTTGCCAGAAAGCGCTGCGATCCCATAGCAGCTCATACTGCCCAACTGCATCGGGGGCTCGAAATCCCAAACCAGTGTGCGTCAGGTACGCCAGAATGTGGTCTCGGTTGGACAAGTTCGAGCCGAGCTCGACAGGCAAACGCTCGTTGAAGTCGTTGCGGATCCAGACTACGGGCAAAGGGGCATGCGTGGATCAACGTCCGAGTGCCAACGATATCGAGGCGGGCGATACGATCGTGCCGATACTCACAAGCATACAGGGCAGCCCAAGTGTCCGCAGGCGAGAGCTCAAAGGGGTTCTGATCTTGCGGAGCGTCAAGTTGCCAAACCTGCTCGTGCTTAGCTCGATCGTCATTCACAGCACCATGCAAGCTGACCCTCGCCTTCCTTGCATCCTCTCCGCCTGCTCTTCGAAACAGTGCCAGCGGCTTGAGCTCCGCATCTTTCTGTTTTGGCATCACCCCGATCGACACTTGAATTTCGTCGGCATTGCTGGCGTCGAAACTAATGGCGGTCAGATCTGGCAAGGTGAACCTCTCGCTCAAAGGGCGCTCAGAGGGGATGATGACAGCCGAGGGAGGCTGGGTTTGACCAGGTAGTGCGGTAGCCATTATTGCTTGCTTGCTTGCTTGCTTGCTTGCTTGCTTGCTTGCGTGCTTGCGAGGATCGGAGGTGTAGGAAGGTGTGAGCGAGTCGA